TTATGGAGGTAAAAAATTGAAAATTGGTTACATTAAATACTTACTAATTTTCAACTTTCTGTCTCGATATATAATTGTATGACTTAAGATTTTTTGAGATAAAAGAATTTTTGTAAAGTTAGGTTTTTTGAGTTTAGCCAATTCCACTTTCTTCCGTCGGTATGTATATTTTTCATATATAGGAATGTATGACAGACATACAGACAAATAGATATCGCAATTACAATCTCTTTACTTTGGTTTTAAAATAATCTTGAAAATAGATCTTTATAGAAAGATAAAGTATTCGGAAATATGATAAATTGAATACATTTACACTTTAATAGATACTATTGTTGACTGTAGTTGAAAATAACAGTTTTGTGATATTTTATAGCCATCGCCATCGTTAAACGACATTTTCATCTATCTATTACGTTTGCACGTTCAAAAACCTAAATTTTTCGATATTTTCGAAATTTAGAAATTTAGAAACAAATGTTTCTTTTCATCTTGATTTTAATTTTTTTTTTAATTTTATGACGTGTAGAAAATTAATCAAAATAATATTATACTTACATAATACTTAAATATTACATTTCCAACATAGATTTTCTAAAGTCAAATAGCTTCAGGGTTTATTACTAATATTAATATACTTTAGACAGAGATGGCAGAACGGCTCGTAGATATCACTGGTAAACCGAGAGCTGGTAGCACTTTGACCAGAAGGTAAGCATGGCCATTCAAGGAGGTACCAGTAACTTGGGTGCACTGCTTCAATGTATCGCGTTGGATTACATTAATTTTTTTTAATGTAATGTTATTGTTTGTTGCTGTAAAATAATTAATACGAACAAAAAACTTACATATATATTAATTATCTATTTATTTAAAATTATTGAATAGTTGCCAATAATATACATATATATTCAAATTTTGTTTTATTGAAATTGCTTTCTATAGAAATTATTTACTTGCGTTATATAGTTTTCTGTATATCTGTGGACTATATTCACATTGTGGTATAAACACATAAGTATCCAATATAGAGATATATGTTACGTGATTTTATTTGTAGACTTATATATTATTATTGTGTATCTGTATTTATAGATAATAATTCTATAGTTTTTAAATAGAGTCTAAGACTGAAGTCTAAATTTCTAGGATATAAAAAAAACAAAGACGCTTTTATTGAATGAGTTACATTAAATACATAAGTATCTAATAATATAACAATAACAAATAAAATATTATAAATGCAGTCGAGTTCCTTTTTAAATACATTACTTGTATATATTACAGTTGGTATGGTTTTGACAATATATATATATTTAAAAAACAATTTTATTATTGTACTGCATCGGTATAGAAAATTAATGTAAATCACAATATAAATTATAACTTTATTTTGTATCAAACATCAAAAATATATGCAACAAGAAATGCCAAAATTAAACGTCCAAACAAAGTAATCAATAATTACAAAATGTAACATCAAAATCGACTTTAAGTTTAACAAATTTATAAAGAACCAACACGGGAGTACATGCTATTAAATTTAAAAGGAATAATCAACATCGGTTGAGAATTAACGAAGACACATGCATGGTAATAGCTGTTCATGCACGGAATTTTCATTTCATGTTAGCCAAAGACCTACATAAATAAACAATGTAAATAAACTGGTTTTAAAGAAATAAGAAATTCAGTTGAGTTCCTTGCCAGTTCTTCTCAATTGAATCTGTATATATATTGAACTGTATACCGTCCAGATAGGAAGACAAGTATCATACAAAAAAAAATTGACGTTCATAAGCGGCTAAAGTGAATATGATTTTTTTTAGGAAGTTACTACCTGTAATATGCGACCTGCATAGATATAGATCTATGCAGCACAATAGTGTGCTCGCCCTTTTTCAGAGTTCGGTACCTAGACCCATCAGGGACAAGAATTGAAGGATATTCTTAAAAAATATATATTTATATTAATACTATATATATTACCAATTAAATTAAATTCAAAATCTATAATTTCAATATTCTATCATTTGTTGAAGTTTTGTTTAATCGAAAACTAAAGTAACCACTCCTGTGTTGGTCCTACTTTGTTTAGGTAAATAATAATTACAAGGTTTTTCTATCATTGGTTTAGAACTTGTAATGTTATGTGTATTAAAACATAATTTAAAATGCTAAATAATCTTTTATTTCAGATTGAAATCACAGTAAATTGTATCTAATAGCAAATTATAATTAGGACTAAAATTGCATAATAGGCGCAGGTTGTTCAGATTCTTAGAATAGGAGTAATTTTGTAATTGGATTACCAAGCTATTAATATGTGATAAGCAACATGGATATCACGTTATCATATGACGACCGTGATAGCCCTTGTGCGTGATAGTTTATAACGTCCCAATTATTAATTTAATTATATTTTTAACATTAAACAAAATAATTAAACTTACAAGTCCTTAAGTTTTAAAAAAATATCTGTGTTGTGTTGCATGTGTTAAAATATAATGGGATTATTTTTCTGTTTCTGTACCCATTATTATTTTAGTCCTAATATAATGTGTGGCAACATACTGTACATAACAAACATACATATTAACATCATTGCCTTGCCTTTATCCCATTATTTGGGGTCAGCGCAGTATGTCATTGTATATATATATATCCAAAGACATATACATGCATATAATTATTATACGTATGTATATATTATGTTTAATATGTTACCACAAATGTATAAAAAAATTATAGGTAGGAAATGGAGCTGTCTCTACTACATTCTGTATTAAGATATTATTTCATACATTCATGAAAGTTATTGCAAATTCGATATACATTTAATATTACCGACCGTATTTATTATCTATCCATTTATAATAGGTATACATACATAGATGTGATATGATTATTTCCACCCATTACTTAACTATTCGATTGATTATTGAAATTCTCATTATTCAAAAAACCTATTCGTTTATATTATATTCACTAAATATAACATTTTTTTTATATAAATGCAATATTCGAAAATGCATGGAACGAAAGAGACAACATAAGAGTTTTGAGTTTTTTTTTATTTATGTATCGGACATAATGGGTAAACAGTACAGTGAAAATTTTTACTAATCTCTAAATTTTCATCTAAATTTTCTACAACATGAACGATTTAATGCAATAATAATATTATATAAACGTTTACACGCGTCTAAATTACACCTTTTTTTTTTTTCAAATATATTTTAAAGAATTTACAATTCATGACAATCATGGTAAATATTTACATTCTAATTCTTATGCTAGCGAAAATTAAAACGAAAATACAATTCCTTGAATCAAATAAATTGGTACCACATATAGTCTATGGCACGTATACACATCGTAGACATTTTAGAAAATTTTAATAAAAAAAATAACATAACCATTTCTTTAAACACAAACGTTCAGATCATTATTAAATAAATCACAAAATAATTACTACTTATACAAAAATATACCAAGTTTGTTTTTAAAATAATTGCAAATATATTTTTATATCACACCTAATTGGAAATATTTTACTCTTAAAAAACGACTGATAGTTTGTATGCACTAAATTGCAAGAAAGAATGAAAAAATGAACGTAGTTGGGTAATTACATGACAATCCATAAGCGGTGATAAAAAGTGAAAGAGTTTATTTATTTTTTCTCTTTTTTTATTTTTCAATATCTCCTAGAAAGGCATAATAAATGCGTGTAAAAGTTTTAATTTCAAATCACAATTTTATCTTTTATCTTTCTGTTTTTATCTTTAATATTCCTAGGAGGTGTGACATAAAATATTTATGTATCACTCGGGAGAAAGTATAGCTAAGGCATAAGAAATTTCTACCCTCATCTGGTATTTAATAATAATAATGTTAACAATGTTGACAAATAATTAAACTGTGTATTTAACACTATAGATCCAGGATTTAGCCATCTCATCTACGATTCATAAATCTAATAGAAAAATATCGTCATTATAAAATAACAGATGAGAATATATATTTCTTATATTACTTTTAAACTTGTGTGATTTGGAAACTCGCCTTTTGAGGTTGATGTATTAAATTTCACACTAGTTAACCGCATTATTTCATCCCTTAGTGTATAATGTACTATTAGCATAGAGGATAATATTTCTACAGAGTGTAAGTTTAAATGCATTACCACAATCAGCTAAATTGCATTAGTCAAACAGAAATATCAACAATACAAAAAATAAAAATCGGCTCGAAGGACCAAAAAACAACGATATTAATCGAAATGTCGTGTTTATGTGCATGCTTTTATCATTTACGACTGAGCACTGGCTGAAAATCTTCCACTCTGTATATTTAATCCTCAGTGTATTAATTATTAATTATATATATCATTTATTGCAAATTAAAATGAGATCTTTGAAATCAATTCCAAAAAAGTGGGTGTGTCTTTAAAATGAATATAAAAATGCGTAAACTGAAACGCTATGCGTAATAATGTATGTTCTAACGTTTATGTACCGTATGTATTATTATAATTTAATACAACTACTTATTGTTCTTACTATTTGTATGTTACAAGATGATTAAATATTTTTAAATATTGATATGGACCTTTTAAGGTTACTCGACATTGGCTGTTCACTCGCACATCTTTGCCTAAATTTCTCTAACACTTAGATACACTATAAATAGATCACTAACAAATATCTGAATTACAGCTACCAAACCTAAACGTAAGGCGAATAGAAATAAAATAATTAAAACCTATAATACTTCAAAGGGTCCCGTTAAAACCGGGTGATAAAAAAATGAACAAAAAATATATTTGGTTACAGTTATACAATTCCTCGTACGGAGATCGTCCATTCAAATATAAAAAGTCCAACAGTGAACACATTACACGTTCTAGAACACCATTCTAAATAACTTGAAATAGATCTAAACCCGTAAATATAAAGTATTACATACTGTGATACTTACATTATAGCCCTAAATATTATTACGCAAAAAAATCACGACTCACATTGCGTTTTTAATACAATCCATCGATAGCACGGTTTTAATAACCGGATATAACCACTTTTCGCAACACTTAACTGGTTCGAACTGGTTTCGGCCAGTTTATTTATCAGATCTTTGCTCGTTGAGGGATAGATTCTCGGCTTCGTCCTTGATGTGAGATATGGAGGCTCTGTATCTATCCTCAGAACGAGGGTAGTCGTCGTAGGGGCTCGTCTCGCCAGATCTATTGCTTGAAGACTCCTTGTTGGAATTTGCGTAATCGCCTGAAATTTAATAAATGAATAGGTTTTACAATTCAATACAAATAACATTACAATTTATATATTTTTTTATAGAGAAGTGAATTTGTAAGTTTTATATAAAATTGCAATATACAAAAAAGTAAAGCAAGTACATTTTTAAAATATAATATGCCGTAAGTTTAAATATAATAATGTTATACAAAAGAAAAAAATACAATGTTTACGTGTTATTAAGTAAAATAAAATAATAATAAAAATAAATGAAGTTATAGTATCTACATTCTTCTTGTGATGAGTCTGCATTCCGAATGAACGGTAGAATCAAAAAACTTGACTATTCAAAAGTGTTAAAAGTTTGAAAATATTAAGTTTATTTGAATAAATATTACCTAATTCTATTTCTATTTCTATCAATTTAGAAATTCTTAAAATAATATTTAAAAGAAAATTGTCCGTTATCTTCAAAATATTCTGATAGAGTTTAGCGATTTAATAAAGAACTTCACTCAATTATCCAGTCTAGTCACACTAAGAGGCCAGTTAGAATGAAATTGATTAAACATAAATAGACAAATGAAATTGATTACATTTACTTAAATTTAAAATTATTAAATTTTAATATTGTCACAACTTTTCTTGTAAGTTAACTTGCAGAAAAGATGCATGTCTTTATGGAAATTAAGTAAAATTTGAAATTCAATGAATATATTTTGTTTAGTCACCTTTATTGGAATAATCAGAAGCTTGCATCTCATTCTTGAGCGCGTATATATTCGGCTTGATGTCCTGTGCGTCAGATGCACTTAAATCTTCCGCTTTCACGTCATGAGATGAACTGCTGCTACCGTATCCATTCATTATGGGAGGACGACTGAAGATAAAGAGAATTGTGTATCTAACTGTACATGTGTAGCAATAGAGACGCAAGAAGAACTTATTTTTATACTTTCGTGTTTAGTATTCATTTTTAATATAGTTAAACGGGTTTTAACAAGAACAATTTTATGGTAAAGTAGTTGTTCCCGTGACTTCGTCCGCGTGAAATTTAACTTTATTTTTCTAAAATAAAAGTAGCCTAAGTTACTCCTTATTATATCAGCTACCTGCCAAAAAAAGTCCCGTCAAAATCGGTGCACCCATTTCAGAGATTAGCCGGAACAAACAGACCGATAGACAGACAGACAAAAACTGTAAAAAATGTTGTTTTGGTGTATGTTTCGTATTTATATTCATATGCATGTAAAAAAAACGGTTATTTCAAGATTACAACAAACAGACACTCCAATTTTATTTATATGTATAGATAAAGGTAACGGTACAGGTGCAGGTAAAATGCCTTTTCTTGAACATATCTTTATTTACGATAAAATTATTCGTATTAAAACCTGTTTAACTGTATTAATAATAGACAGGAAATAAACAATCCAATCAAAATAAACAACAATCCACTGAAAACAAAGTTTGAAAAGATCATTTCCAAATGTTAGTAATAAACATCAATATTGTAAAATAGTAATTACTGAATATCAAATCAAATATCATTATTTATGTATGTCTACAGATACTTATGATATGTCAAATCTACCGCCAGTTCTGAGTGCTCTCGTGCTAGGGAGCACTGACAAGAAACTTAGATCTTATTCTTTTCAAATGAATTTGTGCATGATTACAGAAATACAGATATATTTTTAAATTTAATTAGGGAAAATGTAGTGACAGTAACACAAGATACACATTGACCCGGCCCAGCAACTTGACAAATTTTGTTCAGTGGACATCGTTGTATTACGTTATGTGTATAGAATGATATATATCAGCTAGAAACTCTGCAATTGTATAGCATGTTTTTTCTATTAATATATTTCTAAGAGCAGTTTTAAATTGATGTATATTGTTTATAGATTTTAATTCCTTAGGAAGTTTATTATATATTTTAAGCTCTTTCCCTAAAACCCCATTTGCTGATTTGCAGTTTCAGCTGCAAATTTACTATTGCTGCTGCTCTAATAATAAACCATATACCTGTAATCTTCATGAGATGATGGATACTCGTCAGTTTGCATCATATGATCTTCACCGGACATGTACGACAAATTGCAATCTTCCATCATACCCTAGAGGAATAGAGATATGTAATCATTAGTATAAAAATAAACGATGATGTATATATACATGATCACAAATTAACGTAAACTGTAAAAAATAAAAATAAAAAGTTGATTTAATACACTAAATTTTAATTAGGCTGACTGATAATTACACATATAACAACAGAGTAACAAATTTAAAAATTAAAAAAAATTCACTATCACAAAAATAGTCTGTAGCATTTAATTTTTCCAACATTGGATTTACAGAATGATAATTAGACTCATTCTGTAAATCCAATGTTGGAAAAATTAAATGCTACAGACTATTTTTGTGATAGTGAATTTTTTTTAATTTTAACTAATAATAGTATTTTATTATGTCAAAGAATCATATCATAGTATGATCATAGTATTGTAATATATACCTGAAGATTTCGTTTGAGCGCTTCACTATAGCCATGCGGGCTGGTCATCATTGGAGGGCTTTGGGCTCCCATAAATCTGTCGAACAGAAAGACTATTGCAAATTTCTATTTGTATACTATAAATATATAATTTTGTTTGCATTTATAAAACCTTATTTAATTTATTATCATATTTACCACACTAAATTTTCATTGTAAAGACATGACTCGAAATAATAAAGGAATGAACTGTAACATCATTGACTTAAAAATAAATAATAAATTAAAATCATACCCCGGCCATTTCAGACCTCTTCTAAAATAATGGTTGAAAACCATCCCTTAATTATTTAACGAAAGAATTTCTTGTGAAGGTGTAAATTGTGGAGTGTTGAATTTTGAATAAAATAGTCCAATTCGTCTGTAGAAGTGGTAAGTGTATATATGAGATGTGTGTTTGTGTGTGATAGAGAAAGATAAATAGAATAAAATAGTATAAAAAGGCAAGCTTATTGATAAATTTAAGAAAAATATACATCTACCGTGCGACAAAAATGCACATGCAAAGCGAATAGGCCAAACACTTACCTGAAATGTTAGAAATTGGATACTTATACATGCAAAAGTTAGAAGGGATTAAAAAATGTTAAAAGATCTCTTTAATCTTACTTGGGAGTCCAACGACGATCCTCGTTTACAATAATTTTAAATACATGCATATCGTATCAAGTAGACATTTTCACTTAACGTCGAGCACCTTAAGGCTTTTCATCAAATACAAATCAAAAGAAAATATTGGAAATTACATTAGCAACATATGAATTAAGCTAATTTTAAACAAGTAATATTATATTGTGATGTTAAAAACTATATAGCAAAACAATCGGTTATAGCTTTGCACTCTAAGAGTCTATGACACTGATGGATGCTTGTTTATATTGATGACGTACTTTATACGGATTTTATTAAAAATAGAATTCCAAGCAGACACCAGCTCATAATTAACTATATTTATATTGGAACAATCACGTGTTCTAGTTACATTCTAACATGACAATTTAATTAATCTAAACTTTCACAGTGATACACTTTACATAATGTCAGAAACATCGATCTAATATTATGCACCTAAAATTATCATTATGCAATAATATTTTGATAATTTTAGGCTATTTTTAATCGTTTACATACAAAACGCTATTTTGGACACGATCGTCCAACGATTCTCGTTTTATATCAAAGTTTAATCCATTCAAAATATTGGATAAATGATCTTATTACAATAGAAAAACTTTAATAATTTAGACTGTCCGCTTCAGGGAAATGTACATTTCAAATTCAAATAAATAAAATTTTCGCATTTTCATTAGTTCCAATATCCAAGACAGCACTACTTCAAATTTGATACCGTTAGATCCGACAAGAAATATAGACCTCAAACATCATTTGATGAAATATTTTAGGGCGGTATTACTTTGTTAAAAATTTTATCATATCTGTATTTTAAATCTTAAATACAGAAAGGAAATGAAAATAATTTCTAAACCATATTAAACTTTGTAAATTTTAAAACTGATATCTAAAAAAAAATTATAGCTTCATAAATTGATAAATTCGTGTCATTTTGAATCAATATATTTGAGAGTTTAATACGGAGAGTTTATTAAAATTTTTAAGAAAATAGTGCAGACTATGGACTGAAAAATGCGAAATGGCTAAAGATTCGTTGGACGGTCGCAACTTCGGGATGCGGCGGCGCCCTTACTGTGGTGGCGGAGCGCTGGCGCCCGGCGCGGGCTCATACTTCCTGGGCCTGCCGCGGCTCAGGTGCCGTCTCTTCACGAACTCCGCGTCGTCCACCATCCAGAACGAGCCGAAGTCATCTTCGTAGCGCACGAAACATTTGTGTAGTGACAGGTTCGTCCGGATCGCATTCTATAATTCATCGCCGTTTAGAACAAATTTCACATATGGCCAAAAGGGCCGGCGCCCATCTCATTAACTTATCTATTTCGACCATGCCTCCATCGTTCATGAATCTTTGATTCTTTGTATTTGTTAATCAAAATGAATTTAATGAAATAACGATAGATGCATAGCAAGATCGTCGTGGAGAATATATTATAATAATGATTCATCATGCAGGGTTCGATGGCCCAAGAAGAGAGACCCCAAAGGAAGGGAAAGACAGGAGGAAGGTTAATAGGCAAGCGAGAAAAACGTTATTCACCGTTGCTGAAATCCACGTACACACACAAATAACGAGTA